CCGCTGTGACGCCCAAAACAGGCAGGGTGGGAAAATCCAGCGCCCCGGCAGCTCCCGTCGCAAGCGCAGCCCCCGCGGCCGCACAGCCCCCACGGACACGCCAGCAGACCCCCGCCAAAGCTGGCAGGAAGGGGGGTGCACGGGGCTGAGCACACCCGGACTCACCAGGAGAGTTGACGTTGACGTTCGCCCGGAGGATGTGGATGAGGACAGACTGTTCTGCTGGGTGGGTAGCGTACTGCAGGAATAAAAAATTGTCAAGACGAGGTGTGAGAGTCACCAGGGCAGATCCCCTTCCCTTTTGATGGGATGAGTCATCTCTCCCCACTTTGACATCTTTCACGGACCCCTTCTCCCAGTTCTGCCTCTCTAGAAACCCGCCCCCGGCCGCGCACCTGCTGAGCTGGGCACTGGTCGTACTGGGGAGCTCCTCGCTGTGGCTCCGGCTGCTCAGATTTTTTTTTGGCTGTCGTCAGCAGGGACGCCGCGGACACGCCGTCATTGAGAGGCGCAATGCTGGGAGCAGAGGGGGAATCAGACTTCACCGCGGGGCCTGTAGCACCTGCAAATAGAATATTTTGGGTTTGGGGCAGCTCCTGGAAGGCAAGGCAGCAGCGAGGATCAGCAAAGGCTCAGCAGGAGGAACAGGGAGATTTGGGGCTTCCCTGGCTGCCGCCAACCAGCTACATGCTTGCGAGCGACAAGAGGATCGTGTTTGCGCCTTGCTCTGCCCCAACACCCTGCCAAGAGCTTCAGGACCTGCAGCCGAGGCGCCTTTCGCAAACAAATTGGAGTAAATTAAATTATCGTCACCAGGGAGTGACTCATCGAGGATCTCAGGGACCCACCAGCAGAGTGCTGAACGTGTCCAGGCAAGTGACTACTCTGAGGGGCCGCAATTAGCCCAGTGGGGAAAGAAAGGAGCCGAGATTGGCGCAGATAAAGCTCTTCCCCCAGAGCTGCGCGGCCAGACTTACCTTCAACGGCCGGTGTGGTTTGTAACGGCGTGGGCTGTACAGAACTGAAACCATTCTGGGGAAGGAGAGAAAAAAGAGAGCAGTGAGCACTGCAGCTCCTCATTCCCAGAGGCAGCTCCAGAGCCAGCCCCCTCCCACGCCCCCTCCTTGGCTGCGGAAAAACACTAGTTAGTGACCAACGTCACCAGCCCGCGTCGGGGACGGCCCCACACCCAGCCAGCGCAGGGCCAGCACGACCTCAGGCGCCGGTTTCAGAGAGGATTCTCTCTGCTGCTGGTAGCTAGGCTGGCTCAGCGTCCTCAGCCCAGGTTCATTCACCAAAACGGATGTTACTGAGCTTGTGTGCGGCACGCAAGAATCGAATCCTTCAGAAAAAATGAAATCCTTCGTCCAGATGCCGTTGGACAGCCGGGCAATTATGTGTGACAGAACACACAGCCTGCCATCAACTAACGAACGTCACCGAGGGCTCTGGTGGCAGCCAGAAGAAAGCTCAGAGCCCACGAGCTGCGCAGTGGGGCCGGAGGATTGCAGAAACACTCGATAAACCTTCCCCCGAGCCGGCACTCAGCACGCTGGGCTCACTCAGCACCGAGCTGTTTCCCTACCTTGGCCTGGGTCAGATCTTTCTGGGGCGAGGAGGAGATGGAATTGGGGTATCGCCTCGTCTGGGTGGATCTCTGTTCGTACAGTGGTCCCTGAGCGCTGTTCTGGGAGGTAAACGTTGCTGTCGGTATTGTGCCGCTCTGGTAACCAGACTCCTGGCTTTGATTGGATGAAATCGTGGATGAAGATTCACTAAAAAGGAAAAAAAAAAAGGAAAAAAGAAAAGGAGTTTACATTTTCTTCCAAAACAGCCCCGCTGGATGCTGCTGACCCTGACTGTGGGTTCTTAATTTCAAGTGTTCAAAATAAAGAGCCCCAAAGCGTTGGCGTAACAGCGCCGCACGAAGCGACCAAGCCGAGGAACGCTCCCAGCCAAGGGCGAGCCCAACCACGGGAGGATGCCTGCACCCGGGTGCAGCCTCCCCAGTGCACAGGCGCTGCCCTGGGGACATTTCACCAGCTGCCACCGCTCCAGGGACCGGCCAGACGGAAGGGTCAGCCCGGGAGCAGCCAGGAACGCATCGCTTTGCCAAG